TCATCCAGTTTAGTGGGCAGCAGCCTATCATGTTATTCTTTTAGTTAGTATTTCCCTGATTACTGTGACTTTGACCATCTTATCATGTACTTATTGACCACTTTTTTTCCTTTTATGCGTTGCTTGTCTGTATCTTATGCCCATGGTTCTGTTGTTTCTTCTTGGTTTAAATGATTTGGTTTTTTTTTTTTTTTTAAGATGTCGGTCTTTGATTTGTTAGATATGTTGCAATCTCAGCCCATTACTTGTCTTTTAAATGTGGGTGTCTTTTCTCATATAAAACATTGAAATGTATCCTATAATCCATCAGTCTCATCCTGCTGGCTCAGCTTCTTGTGGCTTAAGAGGGCAGTGCCTATCCCAAAGTGATCATTTACTTTTCATTATCTCCCAGAATAATATTTGAAGGGGGGAGTTTGACCACGCAGCTACGTTTCCCTGTAGAGAGAAGTCAGTTCCCCTCCACTTACAAGTGGAACTTCCCGGAACAAGCCCCTTTGCTTGTTGACGCTCTGCAGTGTACTTTCAGGGCAGCCACATGTGCTGGATGCCGGCCGTCAGTCAGGTCCTGCCCACCCCACAGAGCACTTGGACTTCTTGATATTACATTTGAAGTGGAGGAAGAAAGCTGCGTTAGCAGGAGCTGTGGTGGCTACAGCCCTGAGTAAGCCAATCCTCCCCTTAACCCAGGCAGAAGAATCCAAGGGAGAGAGAAGGCTCACAGTTCTCCCCGTCTCCTCTTAGGTGGAAGAACATGTCTCTTGGACACAGAGGATGGGGTCATTATTCTGAATTTCCTGTAGGAAAGGAAAAGGTCAAAGCTGTGATTCCTCATTGTCAAGAGGTATTATTGTTATCCCAGTTTTCCCTATAAGGAAAAAGCTAAATGTACAGATTGAATGTAATGCCATGTTAAAATTCCAGCTCTAATTTCTGCCTGGAATCAATCTTAGTGTTAGAGACGGGAAGCTTTGATGTGTTTCTTACCACTCCCCAGACACTTAGTTCATATTATTCCTCCCGTGAAGTAAGTGCTGTTCTCCCTGGGTTTTAGAGATGCGAAAACAGGCTTGGAGAGATTAGGGAATGTAGTCAAGGATACAGAGCAGGTAAAGAGAGGAACCGGGGCTGAAATCCAGTTTGTCTTTGCCCCTCATACCGTCCTTCTCGCAAAGGATCTGCTAAAAAGCACATGAAGCTACTAGCCCAAGAAAAGCACATTCTTTTTTTTTTTTCCTTCCTTCAATCAACAACTAGCAAGAGTGCTGCTAGGAAATTGTCTCCACCAAGTGGATATTTTTATTTCTGCTAGTTGGAAATGGAAAATAAGGTATGTGTGGAAAACATTTAACTTTTAAGGGACACCTTGAAGGTTTCCTCCAACAGAATTCATTAAAGTCATGGTATTTTACTAATTGAAAAACTCACGGTTGAACGAGCTGGTGATTTCTGTTTATTGCTAACCCATATTCCTTTCAAAGCACCACTTGAACTACAGCTGGGAAGCATTTTAAGCTAGGCTTTAGTTTAGTTTGTTTTGTTTTTTTTCAGTTTATGCCATCTATTTTTGTTAGTGGGAATGTTTGTCATTTTTTCCAAGGAAGTTAACTATAAATTATACTTCAGAGAACTTCTGAGCAAATATGTTCATGCCTCAGCACTTTAATGTGTCAATTAGCTATTAACGGTGTCAGTAAATTAGACCTGTCAAAAATAATAGCCTCCTTGACTAGGTTTTTACCACCATTTCACTTGAGGGTGTTACTTATAAATTTTAACCTCCAGAACTGTTAAAAAGCAAGGTTGTAGAAATCTGCTTTGCAAAAGATAAACTCTGAAAGAGTTTGTGGGAAGTCACCCAAGGCTTGAGTCTGTGGGCGTTTTAAGAACTGGTAGCCCCTAATTTACAGACCTCAAGCCGACCAACAGCTGGGTTCCATTTATGGCTGGCAGTGAAGTTTATCCCAGGAACTCCAGACCCTGAAGTGCCTTCTTTTGTACGTGTGCTGTGTATGCTTAATCGCTCAGTCATGTCCGACTCTTTGCGACCTCGTGGACTGTAGTCCTCCAAGCTCCACTGTCCATGGTAATTTTCATGCAAGAATTCTGGAGTGAGTTACCACTCCCATCTCCAGGGGATCTTCCCCACCCAGGGATCGAACCCCCATCTCTAACATTGTGGTCGGATTCTTTACCGTCTGAGCTACCAGGGAAACCCTTTATGCATGTGATGAGTTAGCAACTTATTGCTACTGTTCTCATGATAGGCAGAGTTACCTTCCCCTCCACATCAGGGTTCTGGTTGGTTCTGATGAAGGACTGACGTCATTAGAACCTGCTCTCTCTCCTCTCTCCTCTTGTGCCAAGAGGGCAGAGCCAGTCTTTCTGTAGGCATCAGAGCTGAGACAGGAGAACCGAGTGAGAAACTCAGAAAAAAATAATATGAGTAACGACTAAAGCTTAAAGCCTACTATTATTTTCCCCAGTCGTATTAAGGGTTGAGTGCACCAGCCTGGGATTCTGACCACTGTGTACCATCTGGGAAAACGCATTTCACGTTCTGAGTGATCAGATTGTAGACTTAACTATTTGCACAGCTTGTGTGTTTTCTGTACATAAAGTCGGTGAGATTACTAAGGTAAATGCAAATTATGGTGGATGATAAGATTTTCTAGAATAGTTTTTTTTTTTTTTTTAACATATATAATAGAGGTTATGGGCTTCCTAGGTGGCACTAGTGGTAAAGAATCAGCTTGCCAATACAGGAGATGCAAGAGACGTGGGTTCAATCTCTGGGTCGGGAAGATCCTCTGGAGAAGGGAATGGCAACCCACTCCAGTATTCTTGCCTGGAGAATCTCATGGACAGAGGAACCTGCTAGGCTACAGTCCATGGGGTCACAAAGAGTTGGACACGATTGAGCGACTATTACTACCACTAAGTCACACATACACTTTCTTGTCTGTTTAGGATTGCAGTAAGAATCAGCTAAAATATCTCAAAACCATAGATTGAAACAAATGTCAAAAAACTACTGAAACCACACTGTCCCAGTAGCTCTGGTGGTAAGTGATGAGCCAGTTGCGGTTACTCTGGAGGACCCTCTTTAACCTTGCAAGGAACGAACAGGCTTCTTCCCCCTGTGCTTCTGTGCTCCCTGGTTCTGGCTGAGGGACTAGAGGATTGCAGTTTAAAATGGAGCGGAGTTAGTATTCTGCAGCAAACACACAGATCGCCCTTGCGGCACTTCTATTACTACCAAAATAAGCCTCCTTTTTTCTTTTTTTGTTAAAATTAGTTTTTCTTTTTTGTTTTTTTTTTTGACAGCCTCACCATCAGTAAAATTATTTTCTGTCTGGAAACAGTTCACACTATAAAAGGGAAGATCGTTGTCCTTGCTTTCTGCATTTGTGGTGGAGGTGGTGTTCAATTGCTAAGTCAGGTCCGACTCTTTGTGACCTCATGGCTTGCAGCATGCCAGGCTCCTCTGTCCTCCACTGTCTCCCAGTATTTGCTCAAACTCATGTCTGTTGAGTTGGTGATGCCTTCTAACCATCTCATCCTCTGTCATCTTTTTCTCCTCCTCCTGCCTTTAATGTTTCCCAGTGTTAGGGTCTTTTCCAATGAGTCAGCTCTTCACATCAGGTGGTCAGAGCTTCAGTTTCAGCAACGGTCCTTCCAGTGAATATTCAGGGCTGATTTTTTGGGGCTTGACTGTGGATTGCATTTGTAGAGGCCTAAATTTGTTCAATCAATTAGAACATCTTCTGGGTACTCTTCAAAATGGATCCTGGGGACAGGAATAAAACTTAAAATTTTATTTTTTGATCAAGAAACATGGCCTGGAGGCCACCTTCCAGCATTATTCCCTGAATATATGATTATTGTAGCCTTAGAATTAATATTTATGATTATCATTGGCTTTGCCTGAACACAGTAGGAAATGACTTGGTGTATCTTGGCACTTAAGAGTTTTTTCAAATAAAAAAGGTCAATCCCAAATGTAAACCTGATAGATACTGTGTTCATTTGTTTAACAAATATTTACTTACACTGGTGTGTCGTCACTATTTCAGATTGAAATTTAGCACTGTTTCAGGCTGAAATGAACATAATGACATTTTTTAAATATATTCATTTAAATCCTATTAATTTAAAATTTGTTAGTGTCTGGACAAAATCCAGTCTGAAGTTTACTATCATCCTGGCTGTGCAAATAAGAAGATATGACTGAGCAAATGAGTGGTGTAGGAGGAATGCTCAAAGAAACCAACAGAGCAAGCTTTTAGGATACTTGGAAAGTATCCATTTGTATGCAGTTAATTTCATAATTATAAAATATTTTTCTAGGAACTAACCAATGCTTATTTAAACCCAGTATTATTGTATGTGCCCTGAAAATTTTTTAAAAGGTCATGAAAATACATCTTGATTTAGATTCCTCATGGTTCATGATGATATTTCAGTTGGTCTCATTTATAATCTTTGACTAATATTAGAAGATGTGACTCTTTGGGAGCTCTGCTCAGTTATAAGATTTTCAGTGTCAAAATCATTAAAACATCTGTTTTAAAGGTCTGATGTGCAAAGGAATAAGAGGGTTGAGAGAGTGGCAGATGAGGTTTCTCAGGATGAAAGGCAGTGTCATGTGGATTTTGTAGCCAGATCTGAATGGAATTCATTCCAGCCTCTTACTCACTCATCCCTGACATATCATGTAGCTTTTGTGTGTCTCGGTTTCCTCATCTGTGACTGTGGGAATAATAACACTCAGAGATGTAGCCTGAGGATCCTGCGTATGCCAGACTGAAAAGTGTGCCATAGGGATTAACTTCCTTTCCATTCTTGCTTGTTTTAACATGTGTTTTAACCATTTTACAGTCTTTTTTTTTTTTTTTCCGGAAAACAGAAAGTCATTTAGGAGGACAATGTAAAATGTGAGTTTCTCTCTGGACAACCACATGTTTTATGCTAATGTAAATGCCTTACTTTAATTGCAGGTTACATCCAGGCGTGTAGAGGACTTATGATTGCCGCTGTCAGCCTGGGCTTTTTCGGTTCCATATTCGCCCTGATTGGCATGAAATGTACCAAAGTCGGAGGCTCAGATAAAGCCAAAGCTAAAATTGCTTGTTTGGCTGGGATTGTATTCATACTGTCAGGTAAATAGTAACTTTCTTCCAAACAAGGTGCTTCAGGATGTTCATGAAACACCAGGTGTCATAGTACTTTCCTTCTGATGCTCTTTAGGGCTGTGCTCAATGACCGGGTGTTCCCTGTATGCAAACAAAATCACAACAGAATTCTTTGATCCCCTCTTCGTGGAGCAAAAGTAAGTACTCTTCTTCAGTCTGTATGCTTGTGGCTTACAGGAAACAGGTTTCAAATCATCTTCTAAATTAAGGTACCTAAATTTCCTCTATGGCTTGTGAAACTGGGACATACTGATAGAGGCTATTTGATGACATCATTTAAGAGCAAACAGTGTCGGTGCTACATTGGCAAAGATGCACTGAATCACTGCATTAGTGTTACAAAAGTCTTGTAACATACTTGTCTCTAAATAGCTCAAGGCTTAGGATTTAGAACGCTAAAGGTCATCTACTATACATTGTAAAGTGAAGTCACTCAAGTCGTGTCCGACTCTTTGCAACCCCATGGACTGTAGCCTACCAGGATCCTCAGTCCATGGGATTTCCCAGGCAAGAATACTGGAGTGGGTTGCCATTTCCTTCTCCAGGGGATCTTCCTGACCCAGGGATTGAACCCAGGTCTCCCGCATTTTAGGCAGCCGCTTTACCATCTGAGCTACCAGGGAAGCCATACATTGTAAAACTGAAGTCAAATTGGAGAAAAGTGAAAGAGAGGTGCAAGATGGGGAGGAAAGAAGGAGAAAGTGTGATAACCAAAAATTAAGAGCTTGTCTTGATTGTTGTCCATCCAAAATGATACTTGCCAGATTTTAGGCTGTGGGCCAGTTTCCATCACAGACATTGAGAGGAAAACGAGGCTGTGATTTTGAAGATTAGAAATGATTAAATGATAGTGAATAAAATATTATTTTTCATTTTTAATCAGCCTTTTACATTTGTTCTGTTGACTCTGGCCTTAACAAGTTATACCTAATAAACTGTACACGATGCAGGGTCTTTAAAAAAAATTCTCTAAGAGTGGCAGACACCCAGATGTGACCAGTTTCAGCTGCGGGTGAATGCTTTGGCACTTACAGACCAGTTCTCTTGTTGCTGTTGGTTTTTAACTGTGGGCTGTTGCTTTTTATAGTTTCCCGAGGCTTATTTCTTTGCTTTGGAAAAAACCCATGGAATACCAAATTAGAAATCATAATAGATCAAACAGTTTGTCTTCCGTGAGAATATTCCCATAGATTCCTGTAGAAAATTGCTCGTGTATGCATGTGTACTGCTATCAACCAGGCTGGGGATTTTCTTTCAGTCTTTAGATAAAACACTATAGAATTTTAAAAGAGTAATTACTAAAATGTCTGATCAGGATCCATTACTGTTTTTCTGGTGGATTTAGGAATCTTTAGGAAATGATTTTTCTAGTAGTGTCTCTTGTGTAGTTCATGCATAAATAGTAAATGCTTATATAATGAAAATAATAGCTAACACATGTTATGCCCTACCATTGACCAGAGCATTTCAAATATTATTTTATTATTTTATTCTTACAATAGCCTCTAGTAGAAGAGAAGGAGACAAAAATTAGGAAAATCAAATAAGCTGAAAATTGGGTATCAACACATAGTAAACTGATTCTGTAGGTCTTAAAGTATTTAATTTCTGAAGTGAGATTTTGATTTTGGCATATTCTAGGGGAGAGGACTTCCCAAGCTGGCATTTCCTAGAGTTTAGTAATCGGTGCTTCTGTTGTAGTTTGTGCATGAACTCGGAGAGGAATATGTTGGAGACCTGCTGCCAAAGGCAGGGGCAGCCCTAGGGGGGCTGGGGTGAGGACACCCCTTCAGGGGTGTTCTGATTATTTCCTTGGTGTCTTCATTAATGTTCATGAGAGTAAGCTGAGAACAGAAAACACTTATATATCATCTTTTATTTGCCTAGCACGATAGCTGGTTAAGTGAAATTCTGATCTGCAGAGCTAGTCCTCTAGGGATTAGCAGAAAGGCCTTCCGTTATCTCAGCAGACTGAGGAAGCCTCTGCGAAAATGGAGACAGAAGGCTGGCTCATCCTCCTCTCCCATCTGCATCATGCATTCATCTTTCTAGAGCAGCAGCTCTCCCTGCCGCCCTAGACGGCGCGGCTGTGGCACAGGGATGCGTGTGTGTAGTTAGCAGTGAGGGACAGGTGTTTGCCACATGCTCTAGTTTAAATTTCTGGCGACGTAATTCATGGCCTAATATATGGACTATCTTGGAAAATGTCTTGTGCATTTGAGAAGAATGTTTATGCTGTTGTTGGTTGGTGTTCTGCATATGTCTCTTAGACCTCATTAGTTTATTGTGTTAAGTCCTCCATTTCCTTATCTTCTGACTGATTGTTCTGTTAATTACTGTAAGATACTGAAATCTCCAACTATTATAGTAGAACTGTTTATTCCTTTTTTCGATTCTGTCAGTTTTTGCTTCATAGATATTCTGTCATTATGTGCATAAATGTTTATGGTTGTTTTATCTCTTGCTGTATTAAATCTTCCATTAATATAAAAAAAAAATAAATTTCTGGTGAGCAAATACCTGCCCTAAGATGCATTGAAAAACAGTTTGGGCCGCAGAACCTGGTTTTGTTATTATTGTTTTTCTTAAGGATTCTCTACCATGTAAACTGAATCTTTGTGGATTTCCAAGACTCACCTTGGTTGCTTACGTTAGACACACATGACTAAGCTCATCTGCAGAGTTCACACCACATTCCTACTATGTGCAGGAAACTCAGGAGGTGCTTTATTGATGAGGGAACAAAATGAGTGGCTTCTGATGTATCATTGGGATGAAGATTGTTTAGGCTTTGTGTTCAGTGGCTGATTATTTCTGAAACCCTTTCTTTCCCACAACTTATCTGGGAAGATTTTTCTTCCTGCCTACAATCATTTGATTGCAATTGGCAATCCTTAAAGAGTTTCACCTGGCTGTGGTTGTGTTCCGCCATTTCCTCACTTTTTTTCCTTTTGTTTTGCTTCTTTGCTTTGATTCAAGTTGTGATTATGTTTTATGGCTCCAGGATGGACTCCTGCAAAGCCTTGAAAACTTTCTCAATGCTTCCCTTTGGGCTGTTTCAAACAAACTTCCTCCTTTTTGTTAAAGCAATATCTACCAAATTAAAATAAAATCTATCCTCCTGCAAACTGATGGTCATAAGCACCCCGGAGTCTGATTCACCCTGTCGTTTTGTTGAAATATACAGTATTCTCACCATCTGTTGTCCAAACCACTAACTTCCTGAGTGTCTTGCTTTGTTTATTTCTTAAATAGATAGTTCCAAGAAGAATTGATTGGCATAAAGAAGCTTCTTTTCAAATCATGCAAAGTTAGAGCATTGAACCGATTTCCTTAATTGAGAAAACAGAACATCTGATCTTAGATTTATTCTCTTTTAGTCAGTGAGATTTATCATTAACATTTTGGCTCAGATATTCATGGTTTGGGTCTTATCATACTCAAACCTTTTTAAGTTCAGAGTTTTTAAAACCATGGAGTTCTTTACCTCTAGCACTCTTCATTCCTGGAATACAGTTAGTTTCTACTTTTAAGTTTTACTAAGGTAAAATCTTTTCACTGTTGTGGTTATTTAGTAGTTAGAAATAAACAACTGTCTGCTTCCTGGTAAAGTCTCTCATTCCTGTTATCTATCAAGTTAAATGCACAGCAGAGAATTCAAGAAGTATGTTTCTAGATGAGACATATTTTCCCGGGTGAACTTGAAAGGACAATCGATCTCACTAGGTGGCCTTGCCAAGATATTTAACTTCTGTACTGTCTTTATTATAATTTAATGAATTATAGATGTTTGTTTACTTAAGCTTGTTCCAATCATGAGGTTATTTGGAGAATGAATTAATACTGATAAGAGGTTCATAGAGTCTCAGGTAAGGGATTCCATAGCAGTGCCAAGTGTTAAGAACAAACCAGAATTTGACTGTTAAATATTAAGAAGGATTCACTTTGTTCTGTGGTAGGATTGACCATTTGAGATCATCAGAATTGCTCTGATGCTTTTTTCATGCTGGCAGAACTTAATATACTTAGAAATCAAATGTTTGGCAACTGTCGTTTTGTTTTCACTGACCAGTATACGAAGCCACGATTTCTTCCAGTTTGCAATGCTTCCCGGTGACTCAGCTTTTACCACCACCGGCCCTTCCCCTCTCCTTTTCCCATCCCGGCCCACCTCTGTGTATCCTGCAGGAACTGCATCTGGGTGAGGTGCCCACCAGGCTGCTTCCTTTGCTCCTGGTGCTTCTGTTCCAATCCCACTGGGCAGTGGCACTTGCCAGTTGGTCCATCTTCCAAACAAGACCAGGAGTATCTTGAAGTGAAGACCACATCTTGCCGATATGGGCATCTCTTGTAACTAGTCCATACTCTCTGATGTTTACAGCAAAGATGGTTAGTAAGCAGTGGTGTATAGCTGTCTGTCTGTCTGTCTGTCTGCATCTCTCTTAGGGTGGAAAGACTGAGCATGCTTGGGGAGATTTGGTTAAAGGGATGGGGGAAGGGAGACCTCAAGAATGAGGACCCTGGATCCAGGCTGCCTGGGGGAGAACCCCAGCTCTGCCATCTTTTAGTGGTGTAGCCTTGAAGAAATCACTTGTCCTTTCTTGTGTCTTGTGTTCCTCATCTGTAAAATGGGAAGAATGAGAACTACGAGTTTATCGTGAGGATTAAATGAGATAGTACATTTCAGCTGTTTAGACTGGTGCCTAGAGTAGGCACTCAGTGAACGCTATTCTTTTAAATGGGACTGACCCTTAAGCAGAGGCTATTACGTAGCAGTTCATTTATTTTACATTTCCTTGAAGTTTCCATATGCAAGTAGATGCTTATTTAAATTATCCCTTTCGACTCTAGCCATGGTTTGGGAGGTGCCTGCCACTATTTCATGGCTCTTTGGGAAGCCGTGGGTAGGAAATTTTGTGGTGTCTTACAGATCACTGAGTAAGCTGTTAACTAGCATGAATTGCATAAGGGAGAGGAGAATGCAGCAGCCTTGGGAGATACATGGATTGGGCACTAAACAGCCTGCTTCCAGTACTTGGGACCCCAAAAGAATGCGGGGTATTTGGGGGAAAGGTGTGCTTGTAGATAATGCCTGTAGAATGCTTGTTCACATAAAATCCATCCATGCGATGATATA